CCCACAACTCACAATTTTATCTATTCGCTCAGACGAAGGGCTAATGCTCGGAACGTCAGCTTTAGAAACTGTTTACCATGGTCAATTCACTTAATCACCTCAGTTGATAAAGCCTATTCCTTCCCCCCTTCCCGAGGCAGCACTACCGTTTCTTTAGAAACTTACCCACTTTCAACAACCACTACAATCTGTTTGGCGCAACGTGATTCATTAGGTAACAGCCTTTTATTCTCCAAAAATATCCAGGTATCACGATAGGAGACATTGGAGCCAAGTTTTCTATGATGTACAACGGGAGTGACAATGGATATCTAATGTTTGACCATGTCCGTATTCCACTAGACCAGATGCTAATGGGTCTTTCAAAGGTAGTATGAAATGGGTTGTTGTGCTCGTATATATGACTTGGCGTTAGTGCTGGCTCTTATGGTACAATGATAAGTGGTTAGACACTGAAAGGGGTGGAAACCTCATTGTGGTTGGATAAGTTTTTCTAATTAAAGACAGGTAATGTTCAGAATGCTCAAAATCAAACTTTCTCTCATCACAGTTTAACGTATTTTTTACTCGTGCTTAACGGTGGAATAACATAACAAGTATCGCGAGTCGCTACTCGTGCGTTGTCAACCTTCCCAAACTGGTCTGATACCAATCGAAAAACGAAATAAACCATATGAATTAATGACGGAAAAACTCAAAATCCTTAAATGGTTTATCGCAATAAAACGCGACCTGAAATTCCTTGCTGTGATAACATTCTGTCTTCACTCCGAGAAAAGCGTACATAACTTTCTATCAATCGCCCAGCCTGGCACTTTTTTTTTTCAGTTATTGTGTCTTTCCCCCTACACCTATTTAGATTTGATTTTGATAGGCTTCACAGTAAATATATTGATTTTACTATCAATAACCGACAGTTGTCCCCTGACGGAACCTTCACAAAACCAGCCAACTCCAAACTGTTGTACGGTACCATGAGTTTGACGCGGGCAGGCATTGTTGGCGACTCCTTCTGGCAGTTATCAAAAGCGATCACTATCGCCATTCGTTACAGTGCTGTGCGTCGCCAGGGTCAGCTGAAACAAGGGTATGGGACAAGTTTATTGGTTTTAGAAACCATATGCATTCCTGTCATCAACCTGTCGACACCCAAGAGTGACTAGCATGATATTTTCTCGTTTCATGACTACCCCTGGATTAAACGTTGAGGTGACTTCTCAGAAAAAAAAAGTTATCGAACAATTTTTTTTAACTTTCCTTAAATATACCCTACCAATGTCTGTTTCGAAAAATATAATAAAAAGGATAGGTCACTGAGCTTGTTTAGGAGATATAATGGACTAGACTCACCCCATTTATGTCTGTATTGGCACTATTCACGCGCGTCATGTCATCAGTTCACGGTACATTTTGCTGCAGCTGGGAGCAAGTGTTTTTAAGGTAACACTTGGAAAAAACTTGATAGAAAGAAAGCCTCGAGCGTTTGAAATCGCGCAAATTCCAACCATATCGACTCAAAACGTTCCTCGAGTCGTTCCTTTCATGGTCGTTATTCGCATCTTCGAGTAACGGGCTTCGTGCACGCTTTTAGTTTATCTTTTATCCCTTCGAATAATTTTTTTTTAATTCCCTGAACTCAAAGGGGATAAATTGACTCTTAGATGCGCTCACTTGGCTGTTAATGAGGACTCAGTTTGTTTTTCGTTTGTTAGTTTTTTTGTTTTGATTTTTGTTAACATGATGTTTTAAATTGTTTGTTGGTTTGTGTGCGTCAGATTTTTGTTTGTTTGTTTGTTTGTCTTTCGTTTGT